GTGTGTGTGGGTGTGTGTGGGTGTGGGTGTGTGGGAGTGGGTGTGGGGGTGTGGGGGTGGGTGTGGGGGGGGGGGGGTGGGTGGGTGGGGGGGGGGGGGCGTGGTTTACCTATCACGCATTACTTTGACGTTTTTGAGGCCTTCATGCATCATTTAAATGAGGTGCAATTGCAGTAAGATAACATGGTGATATCTCAACACATTGAATGACACAACTCTAATAAATTTATTTTCAGCGTCCGGTTTCGGTGGGAACGCGATAACGGTTAATTAAAAGACTTTAACAGTTCAAAAGCCGGTGTTGTTCAAATATGAACCATATTAACCAGTATTCACTGATCTAAAAGTAAAAAATAGAGGTCATAATACGATTTTGACAGGAGATAAGACGTTGAGGAACAAGGAAAAGGAACAGAAAGTGATGTCATAAATATCTGTTTTAAATGTCTGTGTTTCTTGTTTCAAATGATATTCACCACTCACGGAAATCTACAAGGAAACTCACGTACCACCCTGCTATGCCTAATCACGCCCCACACGGATAATTTGGGCCCGATCATGCATCACGCTGATACTTTGAGATCCATCAGTCGTCACGGAAAACCCTGCCACCCAGTAATATGAACAAAGTATTTTTTATTGAATTGTTATCAACATAATAAACACTATAATAACTGGTCCCGGGGGAAACAGTTAATTTTGTTTCCCGAGAATCATGGAAATTCGAGGGAAACAAAATTAACTGTTTTCCCAGGAACCAGTCTTCTAGTGATTTGTTATACAACTGGAAATTCATTAAACCCCGCTGAAACGGCGGTCGTCGGTCATCATTCGTGGGTAACAGTGCACTGTTACCCTTTGACGTCATAGATTTTTGCAATATTGCCCGCTTATTGATTTTGGTGTAGAACAGTTTCATGGTTAGATGTCATGTGAACTCGAAGTAACCAATGAGAGCGCGTGCTGTTGGGAACAAATTTCCAGCTATGTAACAATACTACATGAAAACTCCCTGCGCATTTTCTTACACAGTCGTTGTTTTTTATCAGAAATCTCATCTTTTCTCTGCGTTCACTCGTTCCATTCCCGATATGTTAACAAGTTGAGCGTAGGTACTATACCCTGCGGTTTCCACAAGGTATTTCTGTTACAACTTTTTCCAGGAATTAAAAAAAACCGGCGCGACGCTAGTGGACAGAGACGGGATCACTAGTTACATTGCAAGTGACATGCAACCAGCTGTTAAACAAGATATAGACTACTTTAAAGGTTGTCTTGAAAATGCGAAACGAGTTGGCAACAGAGCTGCAGAGCATTCTGCATGCGATCACCTTGGCCACGTTTATCAGCAAGTGGGGGATTTCAAGAGAGCGATAGAATATTTTGAGCGGTCCCTAAATGTAGCCAAGGAATTAGGAAACAAAGCTGCAGAAGGAGAAGCATATGGAAATCTTGGCGTCGCTCATGACAGGCTAGGAGAATTTGTAGCAGCGATACGCTACCATGAATGTTGTTTAAGAGTGGCAAAAGAATTGGGTGTCAGGTCCGCAGAAGGGCTCGAGTATGGGCATCTTGGCAACAACTACTCTAGTATAAGAGATTTTAAAAGAGCCATAATCTGCTATGAATGTTTTCTGAAAATTTCTAAAGAACTGGGGGACAGGCCCGGAGAAGGAAAGGCGTATTGCAGTCTCGGCAACGCACATCATAGACTGGGGAATTTTACAGCGGCCATAGACTACCATGAAGGGCAGCTGAAAATTGCGAAAGAACTAGATGATAAACGAGAAGAATTATCAGCGTGTGGTAATCTTAGTAACGACCATCTCCGTACAGGAAATTTTAAAACAGCCGTAGAGCTCGCTAAATGTCGCCTTAAAATTGCGATAGAATTGGACGACAGGTCAGGAGAAGGAAAAGCGTATGAAAATCTCGGTAAGGCCTATAGCGGTCTGGGAGCTCTTGATGCAGCTATAAACTACTATGAACGTCACCTGGAAATTGCGAAAGAATTGGGTGACAGATCAGAAGAAGGAACAGCGTTTGGAAACTTAGGTATCGCCCATCACAGTCTGGGAAAGTTTGAAACAGCCATAAACTACCATGAACGTCACATCAAAATCTCCAAAGAATTGGGCAATACGTCTGAAGAAGGAAACGCATATGGAAATCTTGGCAACGTCCATACCAGTGTCGGAAATTACAAAACAGCTTTATTGTGCCATAAAAATAATTTGAAGATTATGCAAGAATTAGGTGACAGGTCAAGAGAGGGAAAGGCTTATTGCAATCTCGGCAACGTCCACCACAGACTAGGAGATTTTAAAACAGCTTTAGATTACCATAAACGCCACCTGGAAATTGCGGAAGAATTGGGTGATAGTCCAGACGAAGGAATCGCGTTTGGAAACCTTGGCGGGGACCATCTCAGTCTAGGAAATTTTAAAACAGCCATAGAATACACTGAAAGTAAACTAAAAATTGCAAGACAACTGTGTGACAAGTCCAGTGAAGGAGCAGCGTACGTGAATCTGGGAAACGCTTATCAGAGTCTGGGAGATTATAAAAAAGCCATAGATTACTATGAAAGTGGCTTAAAAATTGCAAAGGAATTAAGTGAACGACTAAGTGAAGGAAAGATCTATTGTGATCTGGGAACCGTCTATAAAAGCTTGGGGCATTTTCAAACAGCTATAGATTACCTTGAACAGAGTCTTGTAATTTCGAAAGAGCTGGGCGACAAATCAGGAGAATGTAACGCGTATGGCAATCTTGGCAACGTCTATCAAAGTTCTGGAGACTATAAAAGTGCCATGGTTTACAATAAACTGAACCTTAAAATTGTGAAAGAACTGGGTGACAGATCTAAAGAAGGAAAAGTGTATGGTCAGCTCGGCACCCTCCATCACAGAATGGGGAATTTCGAAATAGCTATAGAATACCATAAACGTCGCCTGGAAAATGCCAAAGAGTTAGGAGACAAAAAGGGAGAAGGTTTGGCTTCTGGTAATCTAGGCTGCGATTACCTCAGACTAGGAGATTTTAAAGCTGCCATAGATTACAATAAACTTTACCTGAAAATTGCGAAAGAACTAGGTGACAGGTCAGGTGTAGGAGCAGCGCACGGAAATCTCGGTAATACCTATCAAAGCCTGGGAGATTTCATAACAGCCATAGACTACCATGAACTTCACTTAGAAAGTGCCAAAGCATTAGGCGAGAGGTCCGCAGAAGTAATAGCGTATGGAAATCTCGGCATTGCCTATCACAGTCTGGGAGATGTTGAAAAATCTCTCCACTACCATAAGTTGCACCTGAAAGCTACGAAAGAATTAACCGACAAAAAGGGAGAGGCTGACGCGTATGGCAATCTTGGCAACGTCTATTTCAGTCTTGGAGACTTTAAAACAGCCATAGAATACAATGAACTTTGTCTGAAAGCTTTTCAACAATTGGGAGACAGTTTCGGAGAAGGATCGGCGTACTGCAATATCGGCAGAACCTATCACAGGCTAGGAGATTTTAAAACTGCCAAAGACTGTGCTGAACGTCACTTGGAAATTGCAATAACATCTGGTGATAGACCGGGGGAAGGAATAGCGTACGGTAATCTCGGTACCTTATTTGAATCTCTAGGTAAATTTCAGGAGGCTCTGAAATATTACCAGCTTAGTGTAACTTTGTTGAATAATCTCAGGGATCGTCTTAAGCATAACGACGACTGGAAGTTGAGTTTACGTGATACGTATCAAGAAACGTACACTAAATTGTGGGGTTTGCTGTTAAAGGAAGGCAAGGTTATGGACGCTCTGATTACTGCGGAACAAGGTCGTGCACAAGGCTTAAAGGACCTTATGGCACTAAATTATTTCTTTGAGACGACTGATTCCGAACCAGGCAAAGAAAGCGAAGACATTCAAGAACTGTTGAACGACCTTTCTTCAAATATGACAATTTTCATAGCAATTGGAAGGACTGAATTGATTTTTTGGGTTTGCCAGGATGGAAAGGTTGTTGAATTACGAAGAAAAGATGTCGATTCTTCGAATGAAATCAGTACTTTCTTTCAATCTCTTGTGCTGGTTGCTGGTCAGGAAATTGGCGCAACAGATGATGTTAACTGCGAAGATCGCTCACTTAATGAGAAGAGGTTTAAAAGGCTGGTGGTTAAGAGTTCCCCTCATGATGATCGCGAAACCCAGTCCTTCATCACTGAGAAAAGTGCCCTTAGTATATTGTACGACACAATAATTGCTCCCATTATAGACCTGTTTGTTTGCAGTGAGCTCGTATTTGTCCCGGAAGGTTCTCTGTGCTTGGCTCCTTTTGCTGCTTTCAAAGCCCCGAATTCCAAATACCTTTGTGAATCATACAACATTCGCGTGATTCCATCACTGACCAGTGTGAAAATGATCAAAGATTGTCCAGAAGACTACCACTGCAAGTCTGGTGCGCTACTCGTGGGTGATCCGTGGGTGCAAGATGTGAACAAGCTACCCCCGTTGCCATTTGCCAGAGAGGAAGTAGAGATGATTGGAAGATTGCTGGGCAGTACCCCTCTCATTGGAAGACAGGCTACAAAGGATGAGGTGTTACAAAGAATCGCTTCAGTTGCTGTGGTGCACATCGCCGCACATGGTAGTATGGAAACTGGCGAAATTGCGTTAGCGCCAAACCCGGGTGAGACGGATTTCATCATGACTATGAAAGATGTACTGCGAGCAAAGATTCGAGCCAGACTGGTCGTACTTAGCTGCTGTCATAGTGCTCATGGTAAAATCAAAGCCGAGGGTGTAGTTGGCATAGCACGGGCATTTTTGGGTGCCGGTGCTCGTTCTGTCCTGGTATCCCTGTGGGCGATTGACGACAAGGCCACCCTTGAGTTCATGAAAAATTTCTACCAGCATCTTGTGGAAGGAAAAAGCGCCAGCAAAGCCCTGAACCAAGCAATGAACTGCATGAGAGAATCTGAAGAATTTAGCGATGTCAAACACTGGGCACCATTCGTACTTATTGGCGATGATGTCACACTAGAGTTTGGTGGGAGCGAATAATTGTTTTCAATGCACAGGTAAATATATAACAATTATTCACCGAAGTGGAGGTGAATAATTGTTTTAGTATATACTAAAACAGTGAGATAATTGTGCACAAAAATGATGATTTTTAACTCAAATACGTCGCTTTTTCTTGCCGACAAATAAAACTTTTGGAAGGCATTTGTTTAGCTCTTGCCGGGAAATTTCTTCAAAAGGAGTTGCGAATTCTGTTTGTATTTAAAATCATTCTGCAAAAAAAGATTACTAAATTTAGTTTTAAGCTTATTTAAGAACAAGTCAACTAAATAAAGTAACGCAAGACTTAAGCTTAATTTGCATTTGTAAACAAAAAACTTTTTCACTGGTTTTATCGATAAATTCGAGTCAAAAAGACAAAGCTTTACCTGTTAAAACTTCCACACCGAACCTCGTCACCTTCTTCGTGTATTTCGGGAACAGCTTGCTTGATTAGTTGTGAAACTTCTTTGCTTGTTACGGCA